TTCATACACAAGGCAATTCAAAGTGCGTAATTAAACAATATAAAAAAATACAAGGAATTAGAATAATACATAATAACAGTATATTCAAAAGAGTGAAGATACAATCCTTAAGTTAAGCACTGTCAATTTTATTTTATTTTATTTTTATTTTATTTATTTCATTATAATTTATGTTTTCTGTTTTCACACGCAACATCAATTTTTTGGTCCAAACAAACTCCCTAAAAACCCAGTTGGTACATACAGGCCTACAGCTGCATTAGTGGAATATCTGAGCGCGTCACAAAAGGCCGTGCGTAAGATTTTACTGAGCGCAGTAAAACAGTGGGCTCTAAACCCTCAACCCTGACCACAGCAGAGCCACCACACTCCTAATTGTTTTAGGATATAAGCGGTAATAAAAGCAACAGCTGTCAATGTTAATGGATCATTACTTGCGTATAGAATGAATACAGCCACGAATTCATTAAATATCAACAAACGCGATGTTATGTCTCAGTGCGATGCAAATACATTCATAAAGTAGAAAAACAAAACAAAAAATATGTAGTCCATTTACACTGTAATTGCAGGCCCAAATATTCTATACAAATATTCAACCCCATTTTTGCCAGTTGTATTTATTTGTTTAAATTACGTTGTATATCACTACACACATGTACATACAGTTGAAGGACATAGACTTATCCAATGTGAGATGTGTGAATAAGAATTTAAAAGAAATGCAAACATTTTTAACCATGTGTGCATATATGTGATCAATTGTATTCATTAAATTGTACAAATACATGTTTTTATTTTTTTATTTTTTTATATGTAAAAAAACACTTGAATTAGAATTATCAGAAGTTTTTCCTCCCTAACGCAAATTATACAAGTTTATAAAAAATATATATTTCAGTTTATTTTCATTAGTCTATAGTTCAGCTAAAATCCATACATTTTAGAATGAAACAGGACAAATTGGAATATTTCTTTCATGGAGTTACAATATTTACTTTATATGAAAAGAAGAAACTACAGGCGTTTAAATTATTTTTCATGCACCACTTCTGCTGTTGAACCTAAAGTCTTCCCACACACATAGACTAAAAGTGCACATATATATATTTGCACTTTACCTGAGCGCTGGTGGGTCCTCGGTCCTCGGTGTGATCCAGTCCAGTCCAGCAGGCGCACATCCCCCTGCAGTCCAGCCGAGCGCGGAGCCTCCCCCTCTGGGTTGAGCCGGTCCCTGAGACCCGGCCCGAGGCGTGGAGATTATGACCTGTGTTTAAATGTGTGAATGATTTTTGCTGCGCCCATAAAGCTGCAGTCAGCTGAGCTCCCACTGCAGAGGCCATTGTGTTTAAACGCGTTTACGACTCTCGGGTGGGTGCCAGGACTGTAGTGTCGCCACCTGCTGGACGCTGACCTCAACTGCTCCATGGGCATCATCACATCATGGAGGAAAGACAACGTGGGGACAAGTCAAGAAGTGTTGAGGGAATACTTTGCAAATATACAGAATACTGGATGATATGTCTTTTGTATAATTGTATTTGCATTCCCGATGACAGAATTGATCATTGTGACCTGCATGTTTTGGACTTCTGGCCTCTGTTATATCTGTGTGGCCTGGACGGAGCATTATCTCAAGAGCGTCTTTGTTCTGACCCACATCAATAAGCATCGGCGTCACGTAAGGATGACATCTCTGTTGCACATTTATACACGTTAAATAAAATTACGTTGTCTTCTTGTTTTCTAAAACTGAGGGTTAAGTGCGTTAGATTACTGCTCCCTAAGTCAATTTTCAACAGAATCAAACCAATAGAACACAGGGATTGCAACAATGTCAGACTACATTATATTACCGTATTGTACTTGGAATATGAGTGGTTTAGTTATTACTTACATACACCTCATTTTGAGTGTGCGCGGCAACATAGAAATTACGCATTCACAATAAGTTGAATAAAATGCAAAAAAATATGTGAAAGGATAAACATATGTGTGACACAGCACATCTAAAGGCTATTCCTTTGAGTTAGTAAAGTTTAATTGCATTTTTAAACTATTCTCTGTTTGAGTTACTCACCTGGTTAAACGAGTCTTGGTCAGATGAATACCTAAAATTCTCCAATAATAATATATACAGTGTTTTGTAAAGCTATTTGTGTTGCTTTGTGTTTGGAATGTTCCATACAAAATAAACTTGCTTTGTCTTCAACATAATACAAAACAGGATGACGTCACAAATCGTACTTAATCATTACAGAATTACAGATCCTATTTTTCTTTATTTTAATGATCTTTTTAACTGGGTGACACACGGGGACTAGACATTTGTGAAAACTTGCAGGTAATGGTTATTGTGATATGTTTCGGACTGATATCTGCCCAAACAGATAAATCGGAAACACAAGGATTGACTTCCAGATGAGTGAAGCTTGGTCAGTGCAGCGGTCAGTGGTCAGCGCGCTCCCTCTTTATGGCCGCTGTCCCGCTGCAGAGGAGCAGAGGGCGGCCGGTTCCCAGGTGAAAGACAAAAGCCTGCTCCAAATGACCGTGAGCCGGGAAGAGTCCAATAAAAGAGATGATTTCCGCTCGGCCTTTTGTCCAGTACGCACACATAGAAAGAAAAAAACAAATGGTGCCATTCTGGAAGCGGGCTAATTGTGTCTATGGACGGTCATAAAGCCATTCGAGCAGGAATGCAGACAGAGAGCAGAGCAGGCTTTTATGGCACTGTCTTTGCTCGAGTCTTTGAAGTTTGGTCCATCTGTGTCCCCCCAGCGCGTCACAACAGCGGCGCAACTTCAGCCTGGCTTTAACCCGACTTATCTGCACTTAATTACCGCTTAGGTCTGGAGCATTAGGGCTTCCACGGGTCCTCTTAAGTGGCTTTTACGCACGGATGTTACATGCACAGACCTGAACCTGAAGGGTGTAATTTAAACAGTGCAAACCAACGCGGAGCAGGCCTGATGTATGTCCACATTCTGCTCTAATACGCAGTCATTACGCAGCATTATCGCGCTCCAAATCTGCACTTCCTTTGGTGCAGCAGCAGTTTATATGATGTGTATAGCTGCATGAACCAGCGCACACTTGGAGCAGTATTATTTTAGGCTTCAGCTGTCGAATGGCCGCACGTCTTTTTTGTGTTTTGTGTCCTCTCGCCTCGGAGCGCTTTGCACCCCATAAAAGGTTATGGCGGTAATTGTCTTTTATGGCTGTATACAGCTAACAACATCCTCTGCCAAGAAGCCAATCATAGTAACACACCCACACACACACACACACACACACACACACACACGGAGAAACACACACAGCCTGTCCATCCGTGAGAGAAAGAAAAAGGAAATCTGTTTTCTTCCAAAATCTATCTATGAATCTCTCATTTGCAAAACCAGATACAGAAGCAGTTTTTTTTTTTTCAATAACAAGAGACTTTATAGTCCAGTAATAATATATTTGAAACCATTCTGGAACAAATTGAATGTTGCTGAAAACATAAAATCTACAACGTTCTGACACCATTTCCATTTTCAATCAGATATGTGATATTTTAGACTTCATATGTCACCTGTTTCTGAGTTTGTATTCTTAGTATGATTACGATGGTTAAATCTTTTACAATATACAGATACTGTTTAGTCAGAACTAGAAACTATAAATACTGTCTAAATACAATGCACATGCAAAGGAACAGTTCATGCATTTGTCCAAAAGTCCTCATTTTGTTTCCCATTGGGGGAAATTGGATGTACTGTATGTTTTCTTCTTCCCTTTCCTTTTTGAGCCAAACCCTTTTTTAAATAATAATAAATGTTGTAAAGATCGTCCCTGTATCTTTTTTGTTTTGTTTTGTTCTTCAATTTCTTGTTGTCATGTGTGGATACAGTGCTTTCTGTATGACGCAGACTGTTATATTTTTGTATTGCTCAAAATAAAGTGTTCTAGTCTCACGTTAAAAACATCATATTTGAACAGCTCAAAAAGGTTCAATTCAAATCCTCAACTACTCAAATTAGGAAAAGTCAAAGTCATTATAAAACATGGAACACATTTTTTTTTTTAATAAAGAATTATGTCTGAATGTCAAACCAAACGATGGACATTTCACTGCAATGATTCCTTAACTGTTTTTACGGGACACAACTTTGACACATTCTTTACTCCATCTAAACATCTGAGTGTTTTTCATTATTGTTTTTGTATTGCACACAATTCTGATTGGAAGTTAGTATTACAAAGGATCCTGCCCTCTAACAAATGTGGAAGTCGACCGCTGAAACATGCAGGTATCTCAGCAGTTAAGCTATAGCTTCTTCACTCTTTTGTCTTATTAGCTTTACATACTAACTTTCTTAGCCTTTAGGACAAAAGAAGATAGATTTGTCTTTTCACATTTAGAGCATGGTTGTTTCTGAGTGTTTTGGTCCATATTTTGGATCAGATCTTTGCTCAAGACACTTCAATATTGTAAGGACATTCACTCTGTTTGGATTCGTTAATGCCAAGATACCCATATGTTCTTGTATTATCATGTATTCTGTTTGTCACCCCAGTATATAGAACTCGGACTCTGGGTTAATAGTTTGAATTTTAGTAAGAATTTGCTCATTTGTGGTGAAAAAGTTGAAGTGAGTTTGTGCTAACTAATTTCAAACCTTTGTGACTTTATCTAACAATAACATAGTGACAATTGACGACAAGTTCAAAACAGCAGAAAAACCAGGTACCCCAACTTTAAGCCACCTCAACCAGTCACTCACATGCTAAGCTAAAGGCCCGACGCGGAGCCACACACAGAAACAGAGACGTTACCAGGGCGCGTTGGCAGATATAATTTGCTTTATTTAATAAATAAGTACAAATTACATTGTGAACCAAAGTGAACCGGCCCACAGACCGTGAGGTAATCCTTAAGTAGCCTACAGTGTTCCATTTCCCTTCACTAAAAAGTCTCTCACCGCACGCAAACACTCCGACATGAGCGCGAGTGTAGGTAGTTGAAATGTGTAGGTAGTCGATCATCAGAGAACTTTAAAGGAGACGTATTGTGCCAAAACGAGCCAATGAAAAAAACAGTGTCCTCAAATGTCCGAAGCTCATCGATTCTCGCGTGTGTCGAGTAAATCCTGCATGTGCATTCCGGGTTCCAGGTCTCGGGAAAATCTCTGTTTCGACCAATCACCTCTGCACTTACTTCTGATTGTTTTAAATGTTGTAACAGACATGACTCTCAAACACGATAGATCCGACAACGTGCAAAACCATTCTCACAGTCTTTGACCACGTTATTGTTGTAGTTTTATCCATTCTATAAAGACACTGTCACTCCATCTCCAAGGAAAAAATCACCCGATTGCTAACTTGAGCTGTAGCCTACAAGGTAAGACTGAACATGATTGTGCGTCATCTGTTCCTTTATACGTGTTCGGCCGTATTAGATCAAAGCTGATAACGACCATAGTTGTCATATGTCGATAGCATGGTCTCTTAATGAACTAAAACAAAACGCCACAGTTCTCAGAGGGCATGTCTGAGCAGAATAATGGAAACACGCACCTCGAGATGTCCAAGCTGTATTATACGTTCGGCCTAGCCTCGTCGATCATTATCTGTCATTGGATCACATATCATTGTGTACGTTGTGATCCAATGACAGATAATGATCGACGAGGCTAGGCGAACTTAAAACAGTCTTTGGACTACCGGTGCTGTTTTCCACTCTTTAATAACACGCTCCACTGCTATAAGACCAGTGCAGGATCAGTTCTGGATTTTTTTAAATGAGCCTACATTCCTGTCATTAAGCTGTTTTAGATGAAACATGTGTAGCGTATCTGTGGTGAAAATGAAGGATCGATCGGTGCATTGTATAACTGGATACGTCAAAAAGCATAATACGTCTCCTTTAATTGACAGGAGCATTCGTGTGAGAGGGTTCAGAATGCTCCTAGAAATGCAAATGTCCAAGGTTAGTTCCAGCTGTCAGCAGTCATTGTTCTATCCTTAATAGGCTAATAACAGGGGGAATGGATACATTTTTATACAATCTACGCTAAAGTGACTCCAAAAAACGAACAAGAACAAAAACCAACCATACACACAGCTAAAAAAAGAGACAAAAGTCCATTCACAGCACGGGACCCAGGCCAACTAATACACTTACAACAAGGTTTCATTCAACTAAGGGCACGCTCAAATTGTGCAATATATAATGTAGTCGCGTTAAATTGAAGGCCAACATGCTTTTAACAAGACAATTAAGCCAATTAGCTTCTATAGAGAACAATAAGACAATGCACTGTGCAAAGCAATAGGATTCGTGTTTAAGTTTCTGTCTTCTTGATTTGATTGAGCAAAATAGTGATCTGCCAATTTAACAAGATATAGGTCACTGGCAAAAGCAGATAATATTTTTATTTGAGGAGAATGGATTTTTGTACCGCATTAGGAACAGTTATTGTTAATTACTTTGACCGGGATGAACCAAATCACATGACACTTTAAGATAAGATATCGGCTATAGTTACTTAGAAATGTGTCAGAATTTTAGCCCCATTGACCTGACTTGACTAATGCTATTTCTAAATTTACATTGGTTACAGATTGAATTCATTCCAAAACATACTTTTGTTAAACATTCAACCTGTCTAAGTGATATTGACTTCTATAATGTAATCTTATTTGTGCATATTTCATAAAGTCTCTATACCGCTGGCTTGAGCTCTCTCTATTGTCATCCATTCAGTAACTCCCAAATGGCACTAAACTGTTTTTTGCAAATTATTTATACAAAATAAATAAAATACAATTCCCCCTCTTCTTAATTAAGTGCAAACATTTGTTGTTTTAAGATTTGAACGCGAAAAAGCCATGTCCCATTGGCAGATCACTCTCAAATCTCACACCAAGACACGCACTTTTCCTAATGGCGTCTTGTAAACTCACCCATTGCTTTTCACAGCACAATATAGAACAATAAAACATTAAAATTAGTTAAAAACGAGTCCAGCAGTATATTCTCCCACCGTGCGTAAATCCCTTGGCTTGTCTCATTCATCCTTGGGCGGACCGTCTTTGTTAAACTTCTTCATCTTCATGCGCCGGTTCTGGAACCAAATCTTGACCTGTCTCTCCGTGAGGTTGAGCAGCCGGGCCACCTCGTAGCGTCGGTCCCTGGTCAGGTAAGTGTTGAAGAGGAACTCCTTCTCCAGCTCCAGGATCTGGTGCTTTGTGTAGGGACAGCGCTTTTTCCGAGTTGCGCTTGCGTGGAGCCAGTTAGACACGGGGTTATCTGAAGCGCATATAAGACACACACACACACATACTTAGAAATGACTAAGTATGATTTTGATCTGGGGTAAATTATAACAGCGAAGAGACAATAGAATTAGTTTAAATCTTACGTTCAATAATTGTCTCTTTTAGCTTTGCGTAATGTGTGCGTAAAGATTGTGTCTGTTCCAAATTCTGTGTTTGCGGTTTCAGTTTATATTTTGGCTTGTTTTATGAAGCATTGTGAATTCCCGGATGTAGCCTGTTTGCATTGGTCTGTATACAAATAAACTAGCCTTGCCTCGCCTTTATTGTGAATATGATTGTGTGCAAAATACTCGAATATGTTCTTCTATTCGATGTTGAATTAATCAAATGGCAGAAAAATATAACATCATCTTTACCAAATATTTACCCAAAAATGCAGAATAATACAGTGACAACACAAATAAATAAAGAAAACATATAGACAACATGCGCAAAGTGTGACTGTGAAATGATTACTTACCCTAGAATGCAATTAAATAAGTTATTGGACAATATCTCACTTGCACTGCTTTAAATATGTGCTTGTCTTACTCCCATTCTTTAGGTTCAAAGCACAGTTTTATTGTTCTCTGACAACAGCAAAACATTTTAGTATTTTGATTTAGAAGGAAAATAGTTTTATAGTTTATATATTATTGTATTATTATTATTGTTCCAAGCCAGATGCTGCCAAGAACAATGTCTTTGTTGTAACAGAATATGTGTGTGTAATAATAATCCCAACACTCGCCTCCTCTGACCCCGTGTTTCTGCGCTGCACAAGAGCAGCTGCAGGAGAAGAGCTGATCCGAAAGGACTGTGTGTATCTGCATATACATACACACTTACACGTACACACAAACACGTAGACACACATAGACACACATAAAGTGCAGCACTCACTCGGGTCGAGGCCTGCTTTGTCCTCCGTGTCCCCGCTCTGCTCGTGCGCTGCCTGTCCGCCCAGTGCGTCCTTGTCGTCCGCAGGAGACGCCGTGGCCACGGTCCCGTTGGCGTAGTCTGAGAGGAGCAGGGTGTGTGTGCCGCTGTCCGCTCCGCTGCGGACCACCTCTGGCTTTATGTGGCCGTAGTGGTGCGTGGGAGCGAGGCTGCTGATGCTGCTGATGGGCACAGCGGCAGACATGGGCTCTAGGAGCCATGGCTGATAGCGGGGGTCCGAGTCCGAGCTCAGCGGCCCCTGTGGATGTCCGTAGTGCGGGTGAGCGTGAGGGTGGTGGTGGGGGTACATGGAGGAAACAGAGCTGGGGAACTGCGTCGGAACATGGCTCCAGGGAGCTGCAAACAGCGCGCCTTTGGAGCTCAAGTCAGTGTGCTCATGCAGAGAGCCAGAGGAGGCCGTCTGCCGTGAATGGTGCAGCCCGGCAGCGGAGCTGTATCGCGGCGTACACGACACGTCAGGTTCGCTCTCCGGGAGAATGAGAGAATCCACGTAGTAAGTGCTCAGAGTTCCAGACGTCGACATATCGGAAGAAAAGCCGCTTCACGTGGAGCGGGCGCTCAGGACAGATCCACGCAAACACACGCACGACACACAGACACACACATACAGCCGTAAAGCAGCCTCACAAAATAACAATGTGGAGAAATCAAGTAGCAACTTGGCCCCTCACACAACTACAGCGGGGCAGTAATGGGGAGCCATGCAGCCATGCCATTGGGCAGCGCGCGCACGTGATCATAAAGGCTCAACAATAAAGGATAAATCAGCCCCTGCAGGTCATTAAATACTCAGCCTTATCCCATAACAAGCTCCAGTTAAAGCGCGCAATAATCATCCGTGTGCTTTGAGATGGGCCATGACTATGAAGAATATTCCGCACAATCTGAGCCGCAGTCCGCAGCTAGAATCTCGTATTGGTTTCAACAAACGATATAGTGTGTTTGGGGGGAAGCCCGTTTTACGAGCTGCTTTATAGGACACGTAAGCACCCTACTATTGCTGCGCACATGGGAGGCAGTGCTCCAAGAAAGGTTAGAAAGTCACTGCGTGGAGCAGTGGGAAACACGTCCAACCAGTTCACTATCATTTGGACTGAGGAACATTCACGCACTAAGTGCTCCAACATCATTACGCATCAAGCAGCACACAAGCAGAGAAGAAGCTCTGCTCATCCAGCTCCAAAGTCAAAAGGGATTTTTATCTATCAGGGACAGCGAGACCCACGGGTTCTGAATTTATCTCTGTAGCCATACATTTACACACAATCCAAATGCATGGTCAAATATATACAATCTCATCAACACCACTTTCCTCCCATAAGGCAAGTGAATTCTGCATACTGTGATGATAGGAGTGTATCCATTGTTGTTATTTGTACTATTAATATTATTTTGTTGTGTTCGTGCAATTATAGAATGCAGGGTCAATGTGCTGTTCCGCCTTTGATTGTGCGAAAAGAGTCCAAATATAACAGGCAATTTGACTGTAAATGCTTAAAAAATGCTCAAATAAATGCATCTACAGAACACAATGGAACCAGTGCATGTTGCCTATGACGTAGACGGGTATAGTTTGATGAATGCTGTCTTAAATCCATCCATGTATGAGTGCGTATATCAAAGGCCTAATGTAAAACGTGCCAAAAATTGCAGAAATATTGCGTTTATTGACGATGTGTCCGCACTGCTGCTGCGTCCAACATGTCGAATAACGTGTTAATTACGTGGGACCACAGTTGTTTAATAGTCAGAGCCATTATCAGGCGAGCTGTGAAGCCGTACTATTACAAGTGTGGTGTGGTGTAAGCTTACAGAGTGTCGTGGAGATCTTGTGGTTTGCTCTTTTCAAACGAAGCATAGAATTTAAACGGTCTTTTTACGCACGGGATTAGCCAGTGTCACAATAAGCAGTGCGAATAATAAAACTAATAATAATAACTGTCGGGATATGGCTTTATGCTAGTGGTGTTGAGAAAACGCATCCAATGAAATTGACAGAACCCGGATGAAAAAAATGCATAGCGCGTATCCATAGAGCTTCAGGTGCAAAAGTCATACAAAATAGATATTACATTTGCTTTGAAATTGGTTGAATAAATGGAAAGAACTCACATCAAAGCCTGTATGCAGTTATTCAATTTGTTCACGCAGTTTCAAATAGATTATGCTATTTGTAGCTTTTTGCACCTGGCCTATATTGGGACTAAAATCTCTAGTTACAGTTGGAAACTATCAGACATATTTACAATTAGTAATGTGTTGTACCTATTCAAATAAACAACCACATTGAATAGATTTTATATTTATGCGACTGTCATTTCAAAACAGCGAAAATACGTTACATTTACACACATTTAAAACACGTTTTTAAATGTTTTGAAAATATTATTGTTTGCCTTCATTTGACAGGGATTATATGCTGTATATGTAGCTGTTTGTCGTTATTTTATTATATGATTGCGACTGTTATTATTATTATTGTTGTTGTTGTTTGTATAATTAGTAGAAGTATTATTATTATTGTTATTATTAGTATAAATATAAATAAATCTTTGTGTAAATAAAATAAGTATGTGAATTGTGCAGGACTAACAAACATTTCGTATCTGAATATTGAAACTCATCTCCAATAACGACTCCTATACGTTTAGAGCAATTGTATCTTGTGAGATCAAACTATTTTCCTTATTTTTCAAAGCCAGATTAATCCATGTTAGAGGCGCACATTTTCCTATTAGACCAAATTTAAAGTCCAACCCCTATAGTATCGATTAGCGGCGTGTTTATGGGGTCTCATTTCCTCTAAACCTTGGGGCAAAGCAGCACCTATAAGAATTCTCACGTCTCCATTGCACTGCGGGCTTTATTTATTACAGGGGAATAAAAGCAGCCAACACCCACAACAAGGCCACAGCAGACCGTCTCAGATATGGCTCCAAACTGGACTTTGGACTACATGCGCAAAGCAATAATGTGTTCAAATAACATGGATGGCGACGTGCATAGAGTTGAGTGAATGAGACAAAAAAATCAAGTGATTTTCTGCTTCTGGAAAATGAATGGGAAACGTAATCATATTCCAAGCAACGTGAAAAGATTAACAATAGTTATCTTATATGAGCAAAGTGGGACATGTCTTGCTAATTCAATGTTTGTCCATAATGTAACAATTACGCGCGAGGTTTATGTGTAATTGTCATTTCACGATGTGGCACGTATTTGAGGTCAGATTTCATCGAATAAGCACGTCCAAACGCACGGATATGGAGTCATGCAATTAGCCTCCAACAGCGAAGGAAACGGAGAATTGTCACAAACTGTTTCCTAATGCATTTAAAGAATGTAATGTTGCACACGTGAATCCGAAATTGAATGTATTTGTGGTGGTTATAGGGTTTTCACTTATTTTCTGGAGGTGAGACGACATGGAGACTATTACACTGCATGTTTTTGAATTGATTAGCTTTTATTATGAGACATATCCAACAAAAAGCAGCACAAACAGACAAAACACAACGCCGTGAAAGGGACTCCACATTGCCAATAGCTTCTCAGGGCTGTAAACCTAAATCAGGGTGTGTTTCGAAGCACTTTTTACCGCAGGGGCTATTGACTTCTTTTGCCTGGGTAGATAACAGCCTGTCTGGCGCATCTCAATATAGCCATAAAGCCCATCCTCCCTCTCTTTGTCTGGCCCCGCTATTGCGCAGGGGAAGCATCCGGTTTGGTTTGCACTGCCCGCGGAGGTCGCTGTTGGCACATTCAACCTTCCCCTTCCCCTCCTGCTGCAGTGGTCGTAACCGAGGCCTTGGATTGGCGTCTGCATGCGTCAATATATATCCAAGCGCGGTAGCAAAACACACATTTCCAAACGTTTACAGCTTTCACCTATTGCACGTGGTAAAATGACACCTTTGGAGGATTTCGTGTGTGTGTGTAAATATATATTTATGTGAACATCAGGGTGGGGAACACGGGAACACGTGGTCTTGCATGCAAGTCCATCCAAGATGTCTATCCACTCGCCGTGCGTAACTGGAGCAATTAAGACAGCTTCGTGTTGCAGAGATTGAGAATAGGACCCCAACAACATGAAACTACCTAAACCACACGTCAGTCAAATCCATGGACAAAGCACAAAACGCAGACACATGGATATAGCAGTATAGTGTAGTATATCTGAGACATTTTGAGCCACACGCACGTCCAAAACCTAGACAGCTCACCTGGTAATC